GCTCAAATCAGACAATGGATCGACAAGAGCATTTTCCAAAATTTTGCTAATGAACACGATGCTCACGTTCTTTGGTAAAAATTAGAGAAAATGTATGCAAGGACAACCACACAGAATAAAGCTAATCTGATGCGACGATTAGTCAATTTGAAGTATAAAGACGGGAGCAGCGTATCGGAACACATGAGTGAGTTCCAAGGCATCGTAGATCAGCTCAACTCTATGAAGATGACCGTAGACGACGAGTTACAAGCACTGTTGATGCTGAGTTCTCTACCAAAAAGCTGGGACACTCTAGTTGTGTCAATTAGTAACTCTGCTCCTGACGAAAAGCTTACCATGGACATGGTAAAAGATAGGATGCTGAACGAAGAGTCTCGACGAAAAGACGAAGGATATGCTCCTGAAAATGAAGCGCTTGTTACAGAAAAACAAGGCAAGCAAGAATGGAGAGGAAGAAGCAAAAATCCCCGTAACCAAAATCAACAAAGAGGACAGTCGAAGTCCAGATCGAGGCATGACAAGAAGTGTCATCATTGCGGCAAGCCAGGACACTTCATTCTAGAATGTCGAAAATTAAAGGCGGAAAAATCCAGAAATCAAGAGTCAGAAACCCGAACAAATGACACTGCAACTGTCACCGAAGAAGTTGTCATTGTTCGAGATGCTGATTATGTCAATCTTGCATGTCAAGATTCCACATGGGTAGTTAACTCAGGTGCTTCCTACCATGTCACCTCACGACAGGATTTCTTCTCAACCTATACTCAAGGTGATTTCGGACAAGTGAGGATGGGAAATGATAATGCATCCAAAATTATCGGCATCGGTAAGAACTCAAGGTGATTTCGGACAAGTGAGGATGGGAAATGATAATGCATCCAAAATTATCGGCATCGGTAAGGTTTATTTAGAAACTAACCTTGGATGCAATGGGAAATGATAATGCATCCAAAATTATCGGCATCGGTAAGGTTTATTTAGAAACTAACCTTGGATGCATGTTACTTTTGAAAGAAGTGAGGCACGTTCCTAATATCCTCCTCAATTTGATCTCTACCGGAATGCTTGATGACGATGGCTATAGTAATTATTTTGGAGAAGGAAAATGGAAGCATAGCAAAGGCAACCTGGTAGTAGCCAAAGGCAATAAAGATACAACACTTTACCTTATAGAAGCCAGGCTATGTAGAGGAGAAGTAAATACCACCCGGAAAGAAGTTCCCACCGAGTTATGGCATAAACGGCTCAACCACATGAGTGAAAAGGGTCTCAGAATTCTTTCTAAGAAGGAGCTCTTGCCAGGAATAAAAGGTACACCCTTGCGTACTTGTGTTGATTGTATTATGGGAAAACAACATAGAGTTGCATTTCGTAGTTCCCCACCATCTAGAAAAGCAAATATTCTAGATTTAATACACACAAATATCTGCACAATGAGCCATAAGTCACTAGGAGGTGCTCCTTATTTTGTGACCTTTATCGATGACCACTCTAGAAAAGTGTGGGCCTTTGCTTTGAAAACTAAAGATCAAGTGCATGAAGTCTTTAAGGAGTTTCATGTAAAAGTTGAAAGAGAAACTAGCAGACGTTTGAAGTGTGTACGTGCAGACAATGGTGGCGATTATTGTGGACCATTCAAGAAGTACTGCAGAAGTTTTGGCATCATGTTGGAAAAATCGATATCAAAGACGCCTCAACACAACGGTGTAGCAGAAAGGATGAACATGACCATTTGTGAAAGAATCAGATGTATGCTCTCAAATGCAAAATTACCAAACTTTTTTTGGGGGGAGGCAATGAGGACAGCAGTCGATTTAATCAACCTTTTTCCATCAGTTCCACTGAACTATGACGTACCAGAAAAAGTCTGGACATGGAAAGATGTTTCTTACAAACACTTGAAAGTATTTGGCTGCATGGCATTTGTTCACATCCCAAAAGACGAGAGGTCCAAGCTAGATGGAAAAGCTAAGAAATGTATCTTTTTGGGATATTCCCATGAAGAGTTCGGCTACAGATTCTGGGATCCTATTAACAAAAGGATTGTCAGAAGCAGAGACGTGATGTTTCTTGAAGATCAGACGCTCGAGGATTTTGAGAAACCGGAGAAGCCACAATCAGATGAAATTCCAGTGAATCTGGAACCAGTCTCTCCACCAACAAATTCTGATGAAGGGGGAGCTACACCAGATATTAATGATGTTCCACCAGCTCGCAGTCCATAACCAGAGCAAGCTCCTAAACAAGTCCAACCAGAAGCACAACTAAGGAGATCCACTAGAGAGTGACAACAAAGTCGTAGATATTCTCCTAACGAGTATGTGATGCTCACTGACGGGGGAGAACCGGAGAGCTATGGCGAAGCTATCACTGACCAGCACAAGACTAAGTGGTTAAAAGCCATGCAGGAAGAAATAAAATCTCTACATGAAAACCACACATTTGACCTGGTGAAATTACCACAGGGAAGGAAAGCTCTCAAGAACAAGTGGGTGTACAGGATCAAAAGTGAAGAAGGCCGCTCGCAACCACGTTACAAAGCAAGACTGGTTGTGAAAGGATTCGAGCAGAAAAAGGGCGTTGACTTTGATGAAATATCTCACTGGTGGTCAAAATGTCTTCAATCCGAGTTGTTCTTGGCTTGGCAGCTAGTCTCAATCTAGAAGTTGAACAACTTGACGTAAAAATCACATTCTTACATGGTGATCTTGACGAGGAAATTTATATGGAGCAGTCCGAAGGTTTCCAAGTCAAAGGGAAGGAGAAGATGGTATGCAAACTGAAGAAGAGTTTGTACGGTCTGAAACATGCACCTAGGCAGTGGTACAAAAAGTTCGACTCGTTCATGGAGAAAAATGAGTACAACCGAATGGCGACTGATCACTGCGTCTTCATTAAGAAATTCTCTGATGGTGATTTTATCATTCTTTTGCTTTATGTTGATGACATGTTAATTGTAGGTCAAGACTTCAGCAAAATTAATAAGTTGAAGAAAGAGTTGAGCAAGTCCTTTGCAATGAAGGACTTAGGACATGCAAAGCAAATTCTTGGCATGACGATTACTCGCAACAGGCAAAATCCAAGAATCTGGCTATCTCAAGACTCGCAACAGGCAAAATCCAAGAATCTGGCTATCTCAAGAACGGTATGTTGGAAAAGTTCTTGAAAGGTTCAACATGAGCAAAGCTAATCTCAAGAACGGTATGTTGGAAAAGTTCTTGAAAGGTTCAACATGAGCAAAGCTAAACCTGTTAGTTCTCTATTGGCAAGCCACTTCAAGCTTATTGCGAGACAGTGTCCTTCAAGCGAGGAGGAGAAATCAGAGATGAGCAAGGTGCATTATGCATCGGTGGTTGGTAGTCTAATGTACGCTATGGTATGCACCAGACCAAACATTGCTCATGCTGTGGGAGTTGTGAGCCGATTCCTATCAAATCCTGGAAAAGAACATTGGACAGCAGTAAAATGGATACTCAGGTATCTCAAAGGTACTTCCAGTCATTGTTTATGTTTTGGTAATAATGAACCTGTATTAGAAGGATATACAGATTCAGATAAGGCTGGCGACATGGATACGAGAAAGTCTATATCCGGGTACCTAATAACATTTATAGGGGGAGCTGTCTCATGGCAATCACGATTATAAAAGTGTGTTGCCTTAAGCACCACAGAAGCAGAGTACATCGCAATCACTGAAGGTTGCAAGGAGATCCTGTGGATGAAGAAGTTTCTACAAGAATTGGGTCAGAACCAAGAAAATTATATTCTCTATTGCGACAGTCAGAGCGCAATTCATCTCAGCTAGAATTCGACCTTCCACTCAAGGTACAAACACATCGACGTGAGGTATCATTGGATTCGTGATGTGTTGGAAAATAAACTACTACAAGTTGAGAAGATTCACACCAAGGACAACGGGGCAGATATGATGACGAAGACTCTGGCTAGAGAAAAGCTTGCTATCTGCAGAGAGATTGTTGGTGTGGAGGACCCCTGTCACACATAAGGTGAAGGGGGAGATTTGTTGGTCTACCTCATGTGTTCACGTGGGCCAGCAAGAAGAAAAAAAAAGGGTGGAGATCACATGGGACAGCAATCAAAGAACGAAAGATTGGGTGGGCATTTTTGCTCTGTCAAAAGTTGCGTCTCGTCTCGTTTCTTTCTCTTTATCAAACACATGGGTCAGCAATTAAGTAGAAGGACGGCAGGAAAACAAAGAAGGTCAGCAAAGGGACCCACACACTTTTGACAAATTGGAAGATGTTGAACGAAATTCACGGTGAATTTCGAGGAGAGAGGAGGCCGTTTCTTCTATAAATAGAAGACGCTTCGTTCATTTTTCAATCATCCGAAAAATAAGAAACAACAAAGTGAGAGCCTCAGAAATAGAGAGTTTATGCGAGAGAGAAAAATAGAGAGCCAATTTGTGAAGTTCTATCCACAAATTGAAGTTGTGTTGTTAGCCAATTTTGTGAGAGATACGCCTAAGAGTGAAGTGTGTAACCCCATTATTATTATAGTGGAAGTTTTTAAGTGGCCTACGGGTCCCATGGTTTTTACCTTTTTTTGAAGGGTTTTCTACGCTAAAAATATTTGGTGTTATTTTTCTCTCATTTAGGGGGTGTTTGTTTGCATGCAAGTGAAAGATGAAAGTGAGAAAGTTACTTTCATTTAACAATTAAGGTGTTTGTTTTCATGTAAGTGGTTATGAAATTGAGATGTAAGAAAGTTGCCACATAAGATTTAATGCAATTTTAACTTCCCCTAAAAAAGTGGTGAAGTCACATGAAAGTGACAAAAAGGTAACTAATTTAATTAAATGATTTTAATTATATTTTCTAATTAATCTTATTTTGCCACGTCATCTTCACATTGCACTTTCGATAATAATTTAATTTTTCAAACAAACACTGTATTTCACTTGCGTGCTGACATGTATGTAAAAGTCATTTGAAAAAAAAAGTAACTTACATATTTTAAATTCACTTTCAGATTGCCAAACACCCCCTCAGTTGGGGAAATTATTCTAGGATTTGTCAATCTTTCCCAACATCTCTCTCTCTCATCGACATGGCTTCTCAAAGAGGTACATCAACGAAACCTTAATTTCTTCTCTCCCAAAATGTTTCACTTTACCCCCTTAAAATTTTTGTGATTGTTAGGTGGAGCACGCGATCTGTGGGTGGAGATCGCGTCTCAAGAAGCAGCTGAAGAAGATTGAGGAGTTGTTTCAAAACCCCAGATTGCTGTTGTTTATGGAAGACGAAGAGTGGAGAGTGAAAACCCTAGGGAAGTTCAAAAGTTGTAAATGTTCTCACTTTACTATCTCAATTTCTTGAGATTTCAATTTTGGGGAAAATTTGTGAGTTTTTGGGGTATTTTTTGTTTTTTTAAGAGAAAGAAGTCGGTCGAGTAGAGAGAATCGGGCGAGCTTTGCTCCGACTAAGAGGATTAGCTAGCAGCGCTCTCTTTCCATCAGGTATTTTCTTTTTCTTTTTTAAATTTTGTTTTTTATGATATTTTGTTGATTTTACTTCACTGATTGATGTATAAGCATCTGAAATAGTTCATATTTTTCTTACGAAGATCAAAATTGTATTGGTGAAATCAACCTTTTTTTATGTTTGGAAAGAATGGTAGGTTGGAAAATACCATTTCAATTCTATCATTAGCCAAAGCATGTATACAGGCTACTTATCTTTCAGAATGCTACCATCCATTCACCATGCCTCTCTTGACTACAGATCTTCCATAGAAAAATATGACACTTTAGGTAAAATTTCCTCTTCGGCTTAATCTTAATGCTTACTCCCTTGCCTTTCGCTATATCTGCATGACCTAGAATTATGAAGAGTTGGGACAAAGAACCGTCTTTATTATTTCTTGTCTTTCTCTTGTAGTATTTTAACTTGATCATTACTTTGGCACTTGTTTGTAAAAGTTTCACTGAACATATGTTTATTTTTTAATGATCTTAACAGGGGAAGCTATACTCTTCCTTGACTTATATGCTTACCCTTTAATGTTCGAGGGTCCTAAACGAGACAAACAGGTTTGGTGTGATTAATGCGAATTTCATTATTGTAATTGAACTTTAAGTTCTATTCATGATCTCTTTTATACTCTGCTACAGTCAGAAACATACCGCAAAACTTTAACTTCACTAATTGTATCTTTTAAAAAGTTGTAACTAAAACTAACTCTTCATCTACTATTATTTGTGAACCTGATTATGTTGTCTTTAATCTGATCTGAGTATATATGACCATGCAGTTTTCCGAGGACAAATGTCCTATGGTTAATATATTTGGTGGACATTTTGTTGACGAAGAAATTCTTCGTAAGTTCATCTGGCTCAAAAAATTTAGGCGCTTTCTTTTTAACTCTTTTAAGATGCACTAAACTGTCTGAAATTTGGTTTTCTAGAAACGAACTACAAAAGATGAAAGGAAACTTCGATCCCTTAAGAAGTGCCTCAATTTATATGACTGCTAAAGATTCTCTTTCTGATAGCTTCTTCAGTAGTCTACTGGATCATCATGACATGGTGTGAATAGGATATTGTTGCGATTTCAGATCATTGTTGTCAGAACTCGACCAAAAATGTAAGTTTTATTGTAAAAGATGAGCGTTTGGTAATATATTTGAAGAGAATCTTTCTCTTCTTATATGAACATTTTTGCGTGCACTGGTCATGTGAGCACAACACTCCTGATATTTGAAGAGAATCTTTCTCTTCTTATTTGAAGAGAATCCTTCAGACTAGCATCTATAATATAAACTTGCTTAGTTTTATCTGATCTACTTCACATTTTCAACTGTGCAATGTCTTTTTGATATCAGGAGAAGAAGGAGAATGTTGAGAAAGGAGAGGGTGCAGCAGAGTCAACAGAAACTAAAGAGGATGTGGAGCCAGAAATTACTTTGAGGCCGTTAAACATGGAAGACATGAGGCATGCTAAGAATCAAGTAAGCATTGTTCTTTTAACTTATTTTCAATAATCTCCATTTATCTAAAAGTCAGTTGGGATGGAAAGAAGTATTGTTTAGTATATGCGCAATTCATCCTCTTTCTTTGTGACTCGTTTCATTCTGGTGTTATCTCTTTCTCACTACTTTCTTCTCTCCAATTACGCTTAACCAAAAAAATAAAATAAAATTTGGGTTAAAATCTCAACAAATTTTGACATCAAGTCTGTGATGTAGGTTTCTGCCAGCTTTGCTACCGAAGGTTCTGTTATGAGCGAACTAAGGCAATGGAATGACTTATACAGAGAAGGCGGTTCAAGAAAGAAGGAGCAGATGTCTTACTTCCTTTAAATCATACATGTATTAATACACGGACACGCGCGCATTCGAGATCAAGACAAAATGTAAAGACGGTTGGTAGAAGTTGAAGAGAGGACATGAGATTGTTGGTTCCTATCCTATTTATTTGTGGAGATCAACATGACTGAGGGAGGGATAGGAAAACAGAAATAGGCGAATGTAGTTAAGATAGTATGTTGTATAATATTCTTTTGACATCCCATATGTGTATGATAGGTGTGCCTAATGTATTGTATTTGTTCTGGTTTCATTGTTTTAGATTATGTATATATAATATTGGATATTTAGCACCGTTTGAGATATTTTGATTTCATTGTGAGATTTGAGTAATTATTGAGTGAGATGTGTATATAAACAAGTAGATAAATAAAGAAGGTAAAATTAAAAAAATATTAAAATAAATAACCCAAACGGTTGCAACCGTTTGGACACCATACAGGCCAAACGGTTGATACCGTTTGGGCGAAAAACTGCTCAAACGGTTTTAACCGTTTGGGCTAACATTTGGTCAACCGGTTCAACCGAAAAAACCGCCCGAAAAAGCAGGCCGGTTAACCGAACCGGATTAAATGGATGAGAAGAAGACTCTAAACCGCCTGAACCGAATTAAACCGGTCTGGATCTGGTTTGAACCCCTGAACCGCCCGAAAAAACCGAACCAAATTTTCTAATATAAATACTGAAAAATCCCTAACCCTAACTCCATTTCTCCCAGTCCCACACCACAACACCGCCGATCCCAGGATCCCTAACCCGAATTCTCAAAATACATTTATCCCAATTCTCTCTGCCCTTTTAATCGAAGTCCAATGTAATTCTCTTCTCCCAGTTCTCAAAATACATTTCTCCCACACCACAACACCGTCGATCCCAGTTTATTATTGTGGTATGGTATATACTTGTTGATATGGTTTGCGCTCATTTCACTGATTTCAGTTTTTTTATTAGCTGTGGCAATGGTGTTACTTCAAACAAGCTCCACATTTCATTGTTAGGGGGAAAAAATTAAGTAGACAAAATGGACAAATAATGATACTTCATCAGAAATTAATAGGCAATGATCTCAGGCGTGGGCAGATTTTTGTGAAATGAAATTAATTCGGCCCAAAACCGAAACCGATCCGAACCGATCCGAATTTCGGTTGGGCCGAATATTCGGATGAAGGGGGAAAAATCTGGATCTGGATGAGAGTTTTGAGAATCCGAAAAATTCGGATTGGATGCGGATTAGGCTTAAAACCGACCCGAACCGAATATGCCCAGCCCTAGTTAAATCCGTTTGGCTATTTTTTTAACCCCAAACGGTTGTAACCGTTTGGGAAAAATCCCATACGGTTGTAACCGTTTGGGATTTTGCCCAAACGGTTACAATTGTTTGGGCGACCGTTGGGGACAACTCATCCCCAACGACTTTAGACCAAACGGGTGTTTTACCTCACCCAAACGGTTGTAACCGTTTGGGAGGGAGTTTTCCCAAACGGTTCCAACCGTTTGGGCTGATCTGCTTTCCCAAACGGTTCCAACCATTTGGGCTGATCTGTTTTCTACTAGTGTTAATTGTGGATCAGGATTTTTAATAATCATTTTTAAACCCACAGGAGACGTAACCCTTGATATGGCAACATATAGTTGGCCATGTGTAAAACTAGGGGACGGCAGAAACAACCCAGCTTGCTTCAGTGTTTGTCCCTGGTTTTTGTTGATCGTCATAGCAAAGCAAACGGTAATAGGAAACCGTCTCTCATTATCAAAGGCAATTTGCTATTCGACGGTGTCACAACTAGGGATGAAATTCTAGAACCAATGTTTTGCTAACTAACTATTTTAGCCTCTATGACCCACTTTAACAACAGCGTTGCCACTGTACACATTCTATTGCATAAACGGAGTGTAGGGTTCAGGTTTCTCATCAACACGATAGGAGTACCTATTTTTAACTTTAAGCAGTAATTTCGATGTCCAGAGAAGGATATGAAGTTAAGGTATTCAGGTGGGTAAAATAAGTGTTCCATAATATATATAATGTCAAAACTAAGATAGGTGCAATACTCTCCTTATAGACTGTCAACCATCATTGGATTAATTTCATTAATAGTTTTATTTCTAGGACTAAGAATAACTCGATCTTTCCTGCAGGTACTCCCTATATCTGAAATTTACTAATATATTAGGGTACATTGACTTGATAATAGAAATAATTGTATTTAGAATAGGATCAAGCCGAAACATTGGAGGAATTTCTATCCATTCAATCTCTTCATCTTCATCAAGTATTAGATTGTCATAGAATATCACCAACAGCTATTAATTAATAAGGAACAAAGATATAAAATAAAAGAAATCAGAGTTGATAAATCGATTCTAGGAGAAAAATATAATAAAACTCAAAGATACTATGATAATATTATTAGTTTGTAAATAAAAGAATTATAACGCCTATGTCCAATATCAATTTGATAAACTAAGAAATTCCAGTCATACTTTCAATAGAACTTGTTCTTTGAAGCCTCATATTTATTTTCAACTCCAGAAGTTTGCATTTATCCCATAATTTTGAACTATTAGCTGTTGCCTTCACGACTTCACCCCCTTTAGAACTACTAGGAGTATTTGTCAAAAGTCTCCACCAAGAACGAAGGTGAGACCTCCATTAGGTTTATCACAGATGCATAAATACTTAGACCATTTTCCAGGGTCCCCTACAACCTCCCTTAATTTAGGGTGACTTTTAAGGGAGGGGAACTTTCTCCTCCAATGGTTCCCCCTTAAATGTCCCCCCTACCCCTTATAATTATTCATATTTAGTGTTTTAATTTTATAGATTAGGATTTAATTAAATATGTGGTTTATTTATAAATAAATAAATAATTAAATATTGATAACTAAAATTAATTAATTAATTAATTTAAATTAAGAAATTACCTTATATAATCATTAAATTAATTAATCATATTAAAATATAACAAATAATTAATTTATATAATAATTAATTTATATAAATCAAGTTAAAAGTTAAATATTATTTTAAATTTAAATTCATATTATTTTAATATTAATTTTATTTAACAATAATTATTTTAAATTTAAATTCATATTATTTTAATATTAATTTTATTTAACAATAATATCTCAACGGTCATATCTCAACGGTCGTATTATAACGTTCATATTTCTTCGGTCATATATCAACGGTCATATTTAAATGGTCATATTTTTACGGTCATATTTTTAATTAAATGTGGTCACTCCCTCTATAAATAGCACTACTAGTGTCTTTCATTTTCACTAAATTCAAATTAATTCAATTTTTTAACCCAATCTTCATTATTATTTATGGCTAGTAATTTGTTACGTGCCTTGCTACAAGAGGAAGAGGATGACGACGATGATGATTATGCGACCTTATTAGCAATCGCATCTTTGGAAGTGTGACACCCCTGGTTTCACACAATGGTGCAATCCAAGGTGAACCCAAGGATGTCAAATCTTCCATGCACCCAACACTCTGCAATAATATGTTTCACCATCACAGTAATATCTCTCTAGTGGAATCAAATCAAAACAGTGCATGTACAAGCAGATATAAGAAATGTAAGAATATAATGGATACAATGAGAAGAAGTGATATCATAATTAACTGAAATCACGTTCCAATAGTATTAATAACAAGTCTCAACTGACAAAAAAGATATACGTCCAATAAACTGAAATAGGAGTAAATAATCTCAAATACAAGAGTCAATTGGAAAGCAGATAGGCTCTCAGCCTTCAAAATAAAATACAAGTCTATAAATCAACTAAGCAACTACTAGTTTAATGTGGAGCATAAGCTGACTATCAAGAAACGACGACGACTATGAAGAAATTCCGTCAACCTGTGGCTCTCCGGAACTCTAATTCGCTGCCTGAAAAGAAGGGAAATCAACAGTGGCAGAACGCTAGCAAGATCATATCAATCCGTCCCTAAGGGAAGGGCTACTACATATGATGGATGCTCTACCTAATATGCATAGTCTACCTAAACCGTTTATCCATTACTAATTGGGATTAATATTTAGAAACCCACAACATAAGACTGGTACGTCGAGCGAAATAATCCAAACAACGAAACACTCATATATATACCATATGTCTTAATTTTTGAATCGCTAAATATAAACTCCAAAACTAAGAATAAAAGAATAAAGGAGTGCAATACTAAAATGTCAACCAAAAAAAGTCATGTATGTCAACCAAACATCTCACGCTACCCTGAGTAGATAATACAGAACAAGTACACAATCTTGTGTAAACCACAATACAAAAATACTCTGTCGCAATATATCTCAACGGTAAACTATGTTCAAAATCAATTACCACATAAGACTTAGGCTATCAAGTATTTGACAATGCTATCCCTTGCAAAGTTCTATGATTCATCGCATCAACATGCGGATCAACGTATTGGTGTATCGACCTCTGTGTATCATCATGCAGAAACAATAATATAAAGATATCAACCTTTGCGCCTACTCATGCGGAAACGATAATATAGGTACATCGACCTCTGTGCATACTCGTGTAGAAATAATGATATAAGTACAACGACCTCTGTGCATAATCTTGCGGAAACAATAATATATAACAGAATGCAGTCTACCGCGGTCTCATTGCAGTGTACACTAATACACTCTGAGTGTAGTCCATCCACGGTCTCATTACAGGGTGCCAACTAACCACACTCAGCATCCACAACTATTGTAAACCGAAACAAACATCACTTCCTATCGTGAACAAACTGAAAGTGTTAGATTAAGCACCTCTAATAGCTCGTGCCTGCTTAAAACCAATGTGTACACACTGTCATAGTCACGCACATGTGTCAACGTATATCTCGTACTTTGTGGTTGTAATCATACATACGTGGAACATAAAATATGTAAAACAACCAACATCGGTCGGCCGAAACACACCATCGGTTGACCGACGGCATCGTGTACAAACATGCACATAAGACAACCTTGACCGGTTGACCGATGACTTCTGTTTGTCGACCGACCAGAGGAAGATTCTAGGTTTTGTTGTTTTCATCCGTTTATCTCCAAACTTGTACTTTTATCAACATGATTAGTAAAACTTTATTAAATTATCGTAATTACTTAATAAAAGATTAACTTAAATAGGATCACATCACTTAAATTAATAATTCTAGGGTTTAAACATCCTAATTAACAAAACTCTTAATTAATTTGATTAACTAGGGTTTTAAACAAAATTAAAAAGTAATTAACAATTTAAAATCAACTCTAATGATCATGATCATCTATACTTGTCAGTTAAAGATAAATCCTACTGTTCTCATCATTGGTTTAAGATTTATTATTATAAATAAGGTGTTAACACATCAGATTAAGTCCTAATCAATAGATTATCCATTTAGTGACAAAGGGTCAAGTCTTTCTTGCAGTATTCTCTTAACGAAGCTTTCCTGAACTCACAAATTAGGGTTAGGGTTTTGAGAGGGAAAGTGGTTATTGCTAGGATTCAGAGATTTTGATGAAAAAGAAGGAATTTTCGTGAAAACATGTATATATTTACTTATATGCAATTGGGTCAAAAACCAACCCAAAACTAAAGCCGATAATTTGTGCTCATCGGTCGACTGGTTATGAAAATCGGTCGACCGATAACTACACATCAGTCGATCGGTTGTTCATCGGTCGACCGACTAAAACGAAAATCCAACTTACAGGTTTTGATATATTTTGTGTATGGTACTCACATATATGTACGTATTCGATCTCAAATCGATTTCAATCATGCAAATTCATCCCAAAGTAGTTTCAAACATGAAAAAACTCATATTTTATCATTTTAAAATAATATTTCAAAATTTTACGAGGTTTTACATTCTCCCCTCCTTAAAAAGAATTTCGTCCCTGAAATTCAGCAATCTATGCTAATCACAAACTATGTATTATACGCGCAACATTTATACTTAACATCTAAAATACAAATACTCCCACTTAACCCTTAACTAAGGAGAACAAGTACACAATCCTGTGTAAACCACAATACAAAAATACTCTATTGCAATATATCTCAACAGTGAACTACGTTCAAAATCAATTACCACCTAAGAGTCAGGCTATCAAGTATTCCACAATGCTATCTCTCGCAAAGTTCTATGATTCATCGCATCATCATGTGGATCAATGTATAGGTGCATCAACATTTGCACATCATCATGCAGAAACAATAATATATGTATATCGACCTCTGCACCTACTCGTATGAAAATGATAATATAGGTACATCAACCTCTGCGCATACTCGTGTAGAAATAATGATATAGGTACACCGACCTCTGTGCATAATAATGTAAAAATAATAATATATAACATAATGTAGTCTACTGTGGTTTCATTATAGTATACCTACTAACGCACTTTGAGTGTAGTCTATCCGCGATCTCATTGCAAGGTGCCAACTAACCCCACTCAACATCCACAACTATTGTAAACCGAAACAAACATAACTTTCTATCGTGAACAAACTCAAAGTGTTAGATTACGCTCCTCTAATAGCTCGTGCTTACTCAAAACCAATGCATACACACTCTCATAGTCACGCATGTGTGTCAACGTACATCTCGTACTTCGTGGTTGCGATCATACATACGTGGAAGATAAAATATGCAAAACAGCTAACATCAGTCGACCGAAATACACTATCGGTCGACTGACAGCATCATGCACAAACGTGCACATAAGACAGCCTTGACTGGTCGACCGATGACTTCTGTCGAGTCGACTGACCAGAGGAAGATTCCAGGTTTTGTTGTTTTCCTTAGTTTATCTCAAAACTTGTACTTTTAACAACATGATTAGTAAAACTTGATTAAATTCTCGTGATTACTTAATAAAAGATTAACTTAAATAGGATCACATCACTTAAATTAATAATTCTAGGGTTTAAACATCCTAATTAACAAAACTCTTAATTAATTTGATTAACTAGGGTTTTAAAACAAAATTAAAATATAATTAACAATTTAAATAAACTCTAATGATCATGATCATCTATACTTGTCAGTTAAAGATAAATCCTACTGTTCTCATCATTGGTTTATCATGATCATCTATACTTGTCAGTTAAAGATAAATCCTACTGTTCTCATCATTGGTTTAAGATTTATCAATATGAACAAGGTGTTAGCACGTCAGATTAAGCCCTAATCATTAGATTATCCATTTAACACATAATGGCATGATCTTTAGCTAAGGAAAGGTTTGGAGGAAGATGATATTGCCTTTTCAAACGTGCTGATCTCTTACACGCAAGCAAGATTCAACCCTTCGTCACCAAATACCACAGATCTCGCCCTCCTCTCGGTATTCGCTTCATGAAGCTTTCCCAAACTCACAAATTAGGGTTAGAATTTGGAAAGTGGCTGCTGCTAGGTTTTAGAGATTTTGATGAAAAAGAAGAAATTTTTGTGAAAACATGTATATATATAATTATATGCAATTGGGTCAAAAACCGGCCTTAAATTAACGCCCATAATTTGTGCTCATAGGTCAACTTGTTGTGAAATTCGGTCGACCGATAACTACACACTAGTTGACCGGTCATTTCCATCGGTCGACCGACCAGAACGAAAATCCAACTTACATGTTTTGATATATTTTGTGCATGATACTCACATATATGTACGTATTCGATCTCAAATCGATTTCAAGCATGCTAATTCATCCTAAAATAGTTTCAAACATGATAAAACTCATATTTTAACATTTTAAAATAATATTTCAAAATTTTACAGGGTTTTACAAGAAGAACACCACTCTTGTGAATGTTAAAGTTCATGTCACCATGGTTCCATTCCAGGGCGCGTTGTAATTCAACACAATAGAGCTGAAGGCCACGAGAGAATTTTTCATGATTATTTTAGTGAATCTCCAGTGTATCCTGCAAAACTATTTTGAAGGAGTTTTCATATGCATCATCCACTATTTTATCATATTTTATCATATTTTATCATATTTTATCCGTAGTGGAAACACACGATTCCTACCTTGTCTAGAAACGGGATACTGTTAGGAAAATTGGTTTATCCTCACTACAAAAAATAAATGCTGCTATGAGGATACTTGCTTATGAAGCATCAGCAGATTCTGTGGATGATTCCATGCGGATTCGAGAAAGCACTGCTATAGATAGTCTCAGCAGGTTTATCAAAGTAATTGTTGTAATTTTCGGTGATGAATATCTAAGGTCACCAACTGACGAGGACACTGCAAGATTACTTGCAATTGGCAAACAACATGGTATGTATTGAAGCATTGACTACATGAATATCTAGGATGTTAGGAAGCATTGACTACATGCATTGAAGATGGAAAAATTGTCCGGCTATGTATCATGGTATGTATACTGGTCTCATCCACACTCCTACAATAATTTTAGAAGCTGTTGCTTCCTATGATATTTGGATTTGGCATGCTTTTTTGGTTTATAGGGAGCTCTTAATGACATTAATGTGTTACAACGGTCTTCCATTTTTTCTTAACTTGCTGAAGGGCATGGTCTGACTGTTAATTATATAGTCAATAGTCATGAATACACGATGGGATACTACCTTGCTGATGGTATATATCCATCATGGTTAACATTTGTTAAAACAATTTCTTTACCACAAGGAAATAAAAGAAAAAATTTTGCTACACTTCATGAGTCAGCAAAAAAGGATGTAGAGCGAGCATTCGGGGTACTCCAATCATGCTTTGCAATTGTGCATGGACCAGCTCGTTCTTGGGATGAGAAAATATTAAAAAATATTATGCAAGCATGCATAATAATGCATAACATGATTGTTGAAGATGAAAGAAATGATGATTATATCGACTTCGCGTACGATGCTGCTGAGGAAGCTCCAACTATATCAGTGTCTCACGAACATACAATAAATTTGTGTGAATTTATTCAGAATCATCATCACATTGGAGGCATGCAAACTCATTCTCAATTGCAATTGGATCTCGTCGAGAACTTATGGCAACGAAATGGTGGGCTTTAGTAAGGGATTTGTATGCTGATGTAATATTAATGTCATTGAATTTAGTATTACAAGTAAGGACTGTTTGGGTCAAAAGTTGATTTCATTGCCAACGAACTCATTACAACCGTTTATCAATTGCAAGTTTGAAAAAAAGAAAAGTCAATCTTTTTATAAGATCGACTTATACAATGAAAATAAAAGATCACAACTCTTGTCATACTACACACAACAATAGTTTATCTCCTGTTGTTTGCGTGGGAACTTCGCCTGTGCCGGGGACGTGTTAGTCTGTGGACCGTCACGGATCAGATCCGGTTAACAGAAAAAGTTGATCAAAGCTCCTACTTTATGAAGAAAGTAATCACAAAAGTGGTAATCCCGACCAAGCGAGATTACAACTCTTCCCGAGATCAAGACCAAACTTGATCCAGAGGAAAAGGTGTAAGGGTCTCAGATCTCTCGAAATACACTCTTTATGCATAGGAGATCGCCGAGATCTAGCTAACCCTTTCTGAAATTCGTGGTCATGCACTCACAAAACCAGCAGCACCTCCCCCTCTTGATTATTTTTTTTCACCCCCGAGAAAATGAGCCCCCAAGTTTGTATTTATAGGCTTCGGTTGGGGGGTTTTTGGATAAGAACGATGGATTCAGCCTTATCTTCAGTTAATAACCATGTAACCACATTTAGAGATGACATCTAGGTAGTTATGAACCTCTGGAATAGAAAAAATCCCGTGAAAACCCGTCAAAAACCCCCAAAACGTGCTTTTGGATAAAATCTACGCGAGTCACTCCGCCAAAACACGTTTTAGGATAAAATCTACGCGAACCACCATTTGGTGGCTCGGCCCTAGGCCGAGCCACTGGCTCTGACCGAGTTCGATTTGGTACGACTCGGTCGCTAGCGACTGTTCTGGTTTTCCGAGTTTTGACTTGTCATGTCGTTATGCGTATTTCATTGTTTCGTTGACTTGTATGCTTCACCAATTCGTTTCATGTGTTTCAGTAACATGGAGGTGGCTGACGAGCATACAGGTTATTTGGTTCGCGGTTTTGATGGCCAATGAGCGTGCGGACCACTTGGCGGTGGCTAGTGAGCACACGGGTCGACTTGTGAGCTGCGCTGACATTGTGCGAGCTCTGAACTTGGAGGTGGCCGGTAAGCGCACGGGCTAGTCGTTTTGCCATTTTTGTTGTCGATGAGCGTACGGGCCACTTGGAGCTGGCTGACGAGTGCGTGGGCCACTTGGAGGTGACCGGTGAACTCATGGGTCACTTGGTTCGTCGTTTTGGTGGCCGATGAGTGTGCGGACCATTTAGCGATGGCTGGTGAGCACGCGATCCACTTAGATCTGGCTGACGAGTGCGCGGGCCACTTGGAGGTGGTCGGTGAGCGATCGGTCACTGTTTTGCCATTTCTAGTGGCCGATGAGCGTACGGGCCACTTGGAGCTGGTTGACGAGTGTGCGGGCACTTTGAGGTGGTCGGTGAGCACACGGGTCACTTGGTTCGTTGTTTTGTGGCCGATGAGTATGCAGACACTTGCGGTGGCTGGTGAGCACGCGGGCCACTTGGAGCTAGCTGACGAGTACGCAGGCCACTTGGAGGTGACGGGTGAGGCATATGGGTCACTCGTTTTGCCATTCTAGTGGCCGATGAGCGTGCGGGCCACTTGGCGTGGCCAGTGAGCACGTGGGCGCACTCGAATAAACCTCCTCGACTTGGATGATGATGTTTATCATCTCCTCTTCATCTCGAGCTGCATGCGTGAACCTATATGTATTTTTAGACGCCTACAGATACCCCCTCTAAAGTGTTTTAGCCTCATTCCTTTATAGAGGAGTCTGAAATACTTTAGACTTTAGATGTGATAGGCCCCACCTTCAGTTGGTGTCAAAGGATCCGTAGTTGGCTTCAATTCTTGACTTCTTTGATTTTCAGTCTATTCAATATTTTGACGAATAACAAAATTCCTCTGGCGCTACGTTTATCGTCTGGCCGTTGTCGAAGTCTCGAATCAAAACTGATGAGTTGGTTTTGGCTCATGTTGTTGAGTTGACTTTGAATTGACTATCTTCATCGAAAATTCATATCTGAACTTTGCGATTGATCGGAGGCTACGTGTTGACCGGCGTTGACCTTCGTCGTAACGCATTAACCGACGTTAACTTAGGATTACGTGTTTATTGGTGTTGACCAGCGTTGACCTCATATGTCAACTGAAGTCTACACAGTTTAGGCTCTTAAAATGTTAGAGCGAGGAGAACCAGTTTATACTCGTATACTCCTAGGAGTTGTGGGAACCGGTTTAACCTCGTGTACCCGTTAGAGGTTCAAGGAGATACAGTTTAGACTCTTATACTCATCGGAGTGTGGCGGTCCTAAATGTTAGGGCTACATGACCAACTGTTAAACCTGATTCATCTGCATGTATGGATTTTATCCTGAGTTATTGGATCCTCAAGTCACAAGACCAACTAATGGAGCTGGTATGTCAATGACTTTCATATTTATAGGATTTGTGGCAAACCCTCAGCCATCAATGGGTTTGATTAGCCTTTACCGACTACTGTTTGAGTCGGGCTAGCATGCAGATTGTTTAAGTCCGTGCTACATGTAACGTTATGCTAAAAGAGTTAACCCATTTAGTGTTACAATATTGAATACATAGGCTTCGTCTTTCTTACGGGAATAGACTACCCGACAATGCATATTAGACGCTGACTTATCTCTTCTTAGGATTCGGGATAAAGTCCCCAGACTTAGATTCTGGTGTTTTTTTCACTCGCCAAAAGACTAAACCAACAACGCGTGTTAGGCGTAGGCTTATCTCTATTTAGGAGTTGAGATAAAGTTCCCCGTGCGTGTAAGACGTGGATTTTGGCATTATTAATAACGGTTTGCCACAATGTCGAATATATGGGTTTTTGTCCTTTTTACAGTCAAGGACTAACCGGCAACGCGTGTTAGGTGCTGACTTATCCCTACTTAGGCTTCCAGATAAAATTCCCCAAATTTAGACTCTGATGTCTTCTTCACTTGGTGAAAGACTAAACCGGTAACGCGTATTAGACGTTGACTTATCCCTACTTAGGCTTCAGGATAAAATTCCCCAGATTTGGATTTTGGTGGCTTCTTCACTCGGTGAAAGACTAAATTGGCAATGCGTGTTAGGCGTTGACTTATCCCTACTTAGGTTTCGGGATAAAATTACCCATGCTTATGAAGCACAGATTTTGAGAGTTATAATGTTGAAATATTATGTCTTCTCTTGGGGTAAAGACGAACCCGATGCGGGAGATGAAGAATTTTATATTCTATCTCCCAAAGCTGAAGAGGAAGAATTTTATATTCTATCTTCAGTTGCCAAAGGAAACTCAATGTGGGATCTCCACTTTAAAAATCCGGGAAGGTGAAACTAAGAGTGGGATCTCCACTCTGAGAATCGAAAAGATTCAGATAATCCTAACCGTCGGAAGGTTTGATTACCGAACTAAAGGTGAGTTTCTCATTTATCGAGAGTGAATTGCGGTTTTGGCTCTAACTGTAGGAAGGTTTAACCAAATGAGAGGTTTGAGATGACTCTAACAGTAGGAAGGTTTAATTATTCGATTTGAAAGTGGACCTCTCATTCATGGAAGGAATTGAGAGGAGATTTTGGTTGTGACCCTAACTGTAGGAAGGTTTGACCAAATTGGAGGTTTGAGACGATCCTAACTGTTTAAAGGTTTGATCATTCAATTTGTGGACCTCTCGTTCATGGAAAGAATCAAGAGGGGATTTTGATTGTGGTCCTAACTGTAATAAAGTTTGACTAGGTAGACAGTAGGAGTGGGAGTACAAATCACAGTGGGAGTTTTTTTATGAGGAAAGATTGATCCAACGAAGTGATCAAATCTCATCTCAGTAAAAGAGTGCTTGGAAGTTGGTGAAATTGATCCCGGCAATTGAATGTGTTTCACTCTTGGAAGCATTCAGAGTCTAAGTGGGAGTTTCTTATTCATCATCTTTTTATAGTGATCGGATTATCCCTAAGAATACACCATATAGCATTCTTCTGGAAACTTCCCGTTACATGAATTATCCACCTCCAGCTTTCTTTACAAAACTGGGTCTAACATTGTAGTCAGTTGCTTGATCGGGTTATCCTTAAGAATATTATGTATAAAATTCTCCAGGAACTTCCCATCAAAGAGAAGCAGTTTAACCTCTTATACTCATCGGAGGATTAATAAGCAGTTTATATTTGTATACTCTTCGGAGTCTACACAGTTTAGTCTCTTGAGGCGTTGGAGCAATGAGGAGTAGTTTAGACTCGTGCACTAGTTAGAGTGTGGAGAATCAGTTTATACTCATATGCTCCTCGGAGTGTTCGTCATTCTCATCCAGCTTATTTTACCATTATGACGCCGGCGTCAACCAAGGCTTGAATGCTGTTCTTAAGAATATTATGTATAAAATTCTCCAGGAACTTCCCATCAAAGAGAAGCAGTTTAACCTCTTATACTCATCGGAGGATTAAGAAGCAGTTTATATTTGTATACTCTTCGGAGTCTACACAGTTTAGGCTCTTGAGGCGTTGGAGCAATGAGGAGCAGTTTAGACTCGTGCACTAGTTAGACTGTGGAGAATCAGTTTATACTCATATACTCCTCAGAGTGTTCGTCATTCTCATTCAGCTTGTTTTACCATTATGACGCCGGCGTCAATCAAGGCTTGAATGTTGTTCTTGAGAGTGAAACACACCTTAGTAGGATGAAGGATCCTCCTATGGTACGTACAGTACTTTGGATCCGAAGTATTATCAGCTTCCTCCTGATTTGTGATAGGTAGTAGCTTGATCTTGTTGTTCTTAAGGAGGGATTCGAAAATGGTTGGAACGTCTTCGTCCTTGAAGGAGTACTCTTTTTGGAATCTCAGATCCGAAGTCTTTTGCTATCCTCGGGGTTGTTGTTGTGACGTCTGATTAACATTAATAACTACTGTAAGTGCCTTCCCCTTACCACGGGAGACAAAGCTTGAGTTCGGAGGGTTAGCCATCGGTTGGCTTCTTTTGGCTTTCTTCCTTCCGAGGAAGCGTTCGGCCTGCTCTTCGCGCACCTTCAACTTTTTCTAGGTGTTGGACGGTGATACTCCCATAACTTCTAGAATATCAATGGATAGGTTGTTATGACAGGTTTGGAGGATGAAGTCCTCTGTGACTGGATCTTGATAATTCATCGCCTTATTTCGGAAGCGCTTAATGAAATCGTCGATCGTCTATTCATCTTCCTATTTCTCCTTAAAGAGTGTCCTGATTAATACCTCGGTGTCATCATCAAAGAAATTGCCGAAGAATGAGCTTTCCATGTCGTCCCAGCTATTAACGCTTCTAGGCTTGAGACGACGGTACCAATCAAAGACAGCTCCGTGAAGGGTGCCCATGAATGACTGAACCATCAAGGCTTCATTGTCGAAAATCATGCCCAAGTGGGACTTGAAGTAGATCAGATGTTGAGTGGGCGAGCCCTTTCCGTCGAACGGCATGAAGTTAATCAGGTTGAACTTCGTTGGATACGGGATCGACTCCCACTCTCTTGGATAGGGACATGGAATGCCGGTCCTTTTCACCTCTTAAGCAGTCATCAGAGCGTTGATTTTACTCTCGAGGTATTTTATTTTCTCATCCTCGCTCGTATTATGCTTTGGACGATTTCTGAGAGGAACAATGCATCCACCCCCGGTATTGTCATCTTTGGTGGGACCACCTCTAGCGTTTTAGTCAATGGGAGGGTTATCAGTATTAAGGTGTTCATCCATATTTGAATCGCTACCTGATTGGTTAGCAATGTTACGACGGCTGGATTCATCAAGTTGATTGGACAGAGCCCGAATCTGTTAGTCATGCTCTTTTTTCATCCGCATCATGGTTATTTCCAATTATAACTTGAAGTTCTCTTTTTTGCTTAGATAAAGCATCCTCGATGATTTTGGCCATTTGCTCGGTGTTGATCATAAGTGCATCACGGGATTGTCCTGGGTTGGATATCGTATTGTCAGAAGGGATTGCAGAGTTAGCATCTAATGCTTCATCATCTGAGGATAATCCCCTATTCATCCTCTGATAATCTCTTTGTCTAATGGTTCCTGATCACAATCGGGTTAGACGATGCGATATGAGTGGATCAGAACTAGAAGGTTGAGTCGACTTTCCCTTATCAGCCATATTAATCATGACTTCTGGAAGTTTGTCATCTTGAACGACCGATCGTTTCTTGCAGAAACGCTTTGGTTTGTATTTATCCGTTCCGTTTGAGATCCTATCGAATACCGAGACCCTCTGCAGAGCACTTTTAGGGCAGCTACATGCTAATAATAGTGCCATTTTGGAATATGGACATTGAAAGTCCATCTCCCGGGTATTTCTCTTTTAAGATCTGATCATACCCCCAGCCCGATAGTACAACTCCTCGGCATGATGACTGGAGCAATCTAGCGCTCGTTGACACAGTTTCTTAGGTATAATGTCATCGTCTGACGAACATATTTCCTTCTAAGGGCTTGCTACCTTGTTGGCATTCTCAAGAGCCACGCTTTCGTGAGCGCACGACCGCAACGGGATCTTGGACAATGAC